TGTCATTGTTGTTTGCTGGGCCTGGGCTGGATTCAAACCCGCCACCTTAGGTGTATGTGGCTGGTGCCTTAGCCACTTGAGCCACGGGCGCTGTGCCAGAGCGGGGATTCAATCCCAGCCAGCGAGGCTCCAGAGCCCAAGCTGAACCTCATGTTATACTGAACTGTGCACACAGGGGACATCTACAATGGGAGCAACAGGGACATACAAAGGAGGACAAAGGAGGCTTTGGAGCACCCAGGTCAGACTGAAGATGAGCAGCAATCAGGTTAGAGAACTTGGGTCAAAAGTTCCTACACACAAAGCCAGTCCTGCTGGGACGTCTGGATGAGGGCATCTTCCCCTGACTTCTGAGAATGAGTGCGAGGACACTCCTCCTCATGCTTCAGGTGGTTCTCAACCTTCCTAACGCCGCAACCCTTTAACACAGTTCCTGTGGGTCGCAACCCACAGGTTGAGAACCACTGCTCTACGGGGTTGGAATTTATTTGCAATCCCGAGAGGATTCACTTTAGCACAAATCTTGAGCTCAGCCAGCCCTACCCAGTGCCACTTTCTCCCTTCCATCAGGCGGTGTTCCCAGGGGCAGAAGGTGAGGACACAGGGAAGAGGGGACAGCTGGGCAACCCACCCCTGTTCCTTCACTGGCACTGGGAGACCAGCCCTGAACCCCTTTCTGGATCCTCTGATTAAGCCCTTACTCTATCTAGGCAAAGGCAGGGTACAAAGTACAGCTCTATGAGAAATGCATTCTCAGAAAGACAAATCAGTTATGATAAGAGACGGTGCTTAAGTTGTAAGAACTGCAGAATCATTTAGATCCCATCTCACCACAATCCACAATGGTGAGGATCCTGGGCTACAGGAGCTTGCAAGAGAAATCTCTGCTGGTGCCAAGGTTTTCATTACCAAAAGAAAGGGGTGGGGTGGGGGGAACACTTCAGTTCAGCCTTCACTTGAGGAAATTTTCTTTCAGTATTTTTTCCCCTCCAAATAAAGACAGGTGAGCAGGAGAGAATTAAGTTTGGTAAACACTGAAGCTCCAAAAGAATGGCTTGCTATGGAAATTTAGTCTAAATACCACATTACCTACAGATGAACACAGGGTTCTATTGCTTAGCCTACTTTAGGAGGTTTATTTGGACTCAGTTAAAAAAAAAAATCAATATTTTCTTATCTCCTTCCACTCAACTCTGATTCACAGCTGCACCAAAACTCTCAAAGTGCAAAGAAAAGAGCCAGGCAAAGCAGCTGTGATGTACCCGCTCCTCCCGATACTTGTTCAAAACCCAGAGTACTACAAGGAATTCACAGTGTTAAGTTGGTCAAACTTACAGTGAATTAAAGGAACATAAGGAATTCGCAGTGTTAAGTTGGTCAAACTTATAGTGAATTAAAGTTAAATCCCACAAAAGCAAAAACATTTTTTTCCCAATTTTTGTCATTGCTTTACAAGATACGGAAAGCCATGGAAGTAATCCTGAATTCCTGATTTCATTTTTCAAAATATCCATAATAAATGACTGATGATGTGATTAGGTAATATTCATTATGCATGCAAGTGTTTCACAGAATGTCCCAAGGTGTGTGATGTTTCACTTTCTACTCTGGGGCCTGGTCACATTACAGTTGCATGGGACCTAAAATTCATCTGTGGTGAGTATTAAAAAAATGAGATAAAGGGGGCGGTGCCTGTGGCTCAAAGGAGTAAGGTGCTGGTCCCATATACCGAAAGTGGTGGGTTCAAACCCAGCCCTGGCCAAAAACTGCAACAATAACAACAAAGTGAGATGAAGGGAACTAAGCCCAGATTTTGTTTCCCAAGCAGCTATAGCGTACACGAAAGGTCACGTGCTCGCTTACAACCTGCTGTAACAATATGTCTGCTCGACTTAGATCCAAGTCAGGTAAACTGTGGTGGTGGAGGAGGCTCACACTGTATGGCTCGGAGCCGGGGCAGCATGGTGGGGCTGCTCGGGGGGCTGGAACTGCTGCTGTTCAGACTCCTCCGTTTGTCCAAGTTGGGAGAGGCCTGCACGGTTATCTTGTGCTGGAAATCTGTTGAATACAAAAAACAAACAAACAAAAAAAAAAACTAAGAACTGATATTTCATGGTTTTGTGTTAATTCCATAGCCATGTCTTTGACACATGGCAATAAAGTGAAAATTGCCAGATAGTAACTACGAAGTGTATTTCAGAGGCTGTTTCTTGGTTTGGTTTCTTACTTGTCAGAGCGCAAGGCAATGAATAATGATTCTGAATTTACCTGTTAGATGCAATGAGGTAGAAAGAGCATGAGAGAGAGAAAAATGAAATATTAATGAATCCCTGGAAAATTTACAATGTCCTGGGAAGAAACACTTACCTGCCTTCAGTATAAGGTAGATTAAAACAAAACTGAAATAGAGCACCGGGAATTAAATGAGTCAGGACTCCCTCACCAACTGTGGACCTCAAGCTAGTAAGGGACCTCTGTGAGTCAGTCTCCTCATCTGTGAAATGGGAACAGCAGTTTCCCACATGGTGAGTTGATGCCAACTGAAATTGAAGGCCAAAAGCACGCTGCAGTCCAGGCACTGTATGAATGCTAGTAGCTTATTGTTTAACTATAATTCGGCAGAATTGTGCCAAGAACCGTGGATGCACATGGGAGAAAGAGGGAAATTACCAGAAGAAAAAAGAGAATGTCTGAGGAAACCCTGTAAACTGTCAGGAAAATCATCGCAACCTTGTAAAAGACTACGGGTGTTCCTTCAGCGCAGTGCCAAGTTCAACCTTTGATCGATTGCTTTCTGACTTGGGATAGTTTTACAACTTGGTAGGGCAGAGTTAACTTGTAGATTTTGTCTGGTGATGATGCAAATGATTTCCGTCTGGGGAAAAAGACAAGCCCAAAGGTTATGGTTCATTTCCAAACGGGGCATCAGGCAGGTTTGAATTTAACCCAGCAATCTAATCTGGATATTCCTTTATTAAATTGTCCATGAATACCTAGTGCCTTAAATTCTCCTGGGAACTGGTTTTATCTAGTTCCTGACTAATTAATGAATTTAATAAAATCTTATCAAAAATAAGTGTTTATTTCATATTTGCAAGAGAGCTAAAATTTGCCTTTTTGGAAATTACACTTTAAATAACTTTAATGAGACACCTGGTATTTGAGATAAGGAGAATTTGGAATTTGGTAGGCAAAGCCAACTGTCCATTTGTTTATGCTAGAAATCTAAATATTTTTCTTGATATTGTCATCTCCCTGACCCTACATATTCACTAACCACAAAATATGTAACTTTTGTGTTATATATTTTTTCTTTTAGATTCCAGTTTCTAGAGTTAGCATCACTTGCTAGCCTCTCAACTTGGGAAAGTAACCTCTTGAAGTCTCAGTATTTTCATTATAAAAATGGGGAAGAAACAATTATTCCTAATCCTAGCACTCTGGGAGGCCAAGGCGGATAGATTGCTTGAGCTCACAGGTTTGAGACCAGCCTGAGCAAGTGAGAGAGACCTTGTCTCTAAAAAATAGCCGGGCTTTGTGACAGGCTCCTGTAGTCCCAGCTATTCAGGAGGCTGAGACAAGACAATTGCTTGGGCCCAAGAGTCTCAGGTTGCTATGAGCTATGATGCCATGGCACCAAGGGCAACAGAGTGAAACTGTCTCACAAAACAAAAAGAAAAAAACAATTATCCCTATTTCATAGGACTGCTAGAAAAATACAAAGAAATATTAACCCTTAATACAGGGTTTAGGATGTAATAAATGCTTACTAAAAGTTAGATGTGCATTCTGTTCTCTACCTGTCCACTGCTATCCCGTCATGCCCAGGCTGCTGTCACTACATTCCTTACATCCATCTTCCTGCATACACACTTGGTCCCTTGAGTCCGTTCTGCAGAAGCAAGATGCATTTTTAAAAAAATATTTCACTGACGTATCGTAGTTGCACACATATTTTTGCAGAGTACATGTGATATTCTGATACAACATGTAATGACCAAACCGGGTAACTATGACATCACCTCAAACATTTATCTTTTCTTTGTGTTGGGAACATTATAATGGTTGTTTCCTAGCTATTCTAAGATACACCATAAATTACTGTTAACTATAATTTCCCTATTGTACTCTTGAATACTAGACTTATTTCTTCTCACTATATGCTTGTGCTCCTCAATGCAATGCTCTCAGTCTTTCCTCCCAGCCCCTATTCCAGCCCCATAACCACTGTCCCACTCTCTACCTCCAGGAGATCAACTTTTTTAGCTCTGACACGAGTTAGAACATAACGCAGTTTGTCTTTCTGTATCTCGCTTATCCATGTAACATAATGATCTCCTGTTTCATCCAGGTTACTGCAAATCACAGGATTCCATTCTTTTTATGGGTGAATAATATTCCGTTGCTTATAAGTGTTACATTTTCTTCATCCTTCCCCATCTCTCACCCTATACAAAAATCAACTCAAAATGGAATAAAGATTTAAATGTAGGGCGGCGCCTGTGGCTCAAAGGAGTAAGGCACTGGCCCCCTATGCCGGAGGTGGCCGGTTCAAACCCAGCCCCGGCCAAAAACTGCAAAAACTGCAAAAAAAAAAAAAAGATTTAAATGTAAAACCAGAAGCTATAAAACTACTAAAAGAAAACCCTGGGGAAACACTGTAAGATATTAGTCTTGGCAAAGAATTCTGGGGTAAGACCTCAAAACTATGGGCAACAGAAGCAAAAATACGCCAATGGGATCACATCAAGCCAAAAGTGTTTGCCCAAAAAAGGAAACGATCAACAAAGGCAAGAGAGAACCTACAGAATGGGAGAAAAATGTTTACAAACTACACATCCGATGAGCAATTGAGGGGTTAATAACTGGCATAGGTAAGGAATTCAAATAACTCAAAAGCCAAAAAAAAAAAAAAACCCTCCAATTTAAAAAATGGGCAAAAGACGTGAATAGGCATTTCTCAAAAGAAGACATACAAATGGCCACCAGGATAGGACAAAAAGCCCAACCCCACAAACCCTGAGAAAAAGGCAAATCAAAACCACCATGGGATATCATCTTACCCAGTTAGATGGTTATTATCAAACAGGCAAAAAATAGCACCTGCAGGTTTTAAATGCACGACTGGCCATATCACTGCCCTGCTTAAAAGCCTTCAGAGGCTTCTGATTGTTCTTAAGTTACAGATTAAAACTGCAACAAAGTCTACGAGCCCTACAGATCTGAGCCTGGGTTCTTGACGTTCCCTCCTCATCCTGCCTCATTCTCCGGCCTGGCCTCATGGTCTAAATCAGAGGTCAGCACAGTTTTTCTGGAAAGTACCATGTTATCACCACGTGTCCTGTGAACTCTACAATCTGTCTCAGCTGCCCAACTCTGCTAGTGTAATGGGAAACCAGCCCCAGACACATAAATAAATGTGTTCCCGGAAACATTTCTTTATGGATACTAAAATTTCAGTTTCAGATAATGTCAGGTATCGGGAAATGTTACTCTTCCTTTGATTTTTCCCCAAGTATTTAACAATGTATGTAAAAAACTGTGGGCTGTTCAAAACAGGTATAGGCTGGACTGGGCCCATGGGGCATGATTTGCTGACCGCTGGTCAAACCAGGCTGGACTTTCTCCAATTCCTGGAAGAAACCAAGCTTCCTCCCACTTCTGTATTTGGTAAATTCCCACATCAAGTCTCAATTTAAATGCTGCTTCTTAAAAAAGCCTTCCTCTATTACCTTAGACCAAGTTCCATCTCTGCACTAATCACTGTCACATGGCTTTCCCCTCACAGTAGTTAATAATTACAGCAAGTAAATAAGCATTGGTTTAATTATTAGCTTAAGCTCTGCTGCCTCCCCCAGCACTATCAGGGAAGTTCTCCATGGGCAGAGACCAGGATAGTCTCAGCCCTGTTATAGCCTCTGCCAAACTGGCACAGTGTCTTGAACAAAAAAGGTGTTTAGAAAGCTTTGTTGAATGAATATTTCCTCTGTGAAGACTTGAAGTGACGTGAGACAGAAGGCATATGTATCTTATCACACCCGCCAGCACTTGGGACACAGTAGCTCCTCACGAGTTTGTCAAATGAGAGAGGTTTCAAGGCTTATCAATGAATCAAACAAGGGGTCATGTTAATTGGTGAGAAATATATAGCAAGTGGGGGTGGATTGGCAGAAAATGGAACCAAGGTTCCAGAGGGAGGCCTTCTCCATCTACCAAACAAGAAATTCTGACAGATTTGACATGGACACCGCGGTCTGGGTCAAGGAGATGATGAATACAGGGAAAGGGCTCAGGAGGATAGGAGGACTAGGTGGATCAGGAGGACAGGAGGACGGGAGGACTGGGTGGATCAGGAGGACAGGAGGAC